ATGTAACTAAAAAGATTCTACACACATCTTGCCATTTAGTAAAGAAGTTTAGTAAGGATGTTAGAATCTATATTTCCTGACGTTTAAGAGTTCTAAGTTTATCTCGAACAGTGCATGTGACAATCTATCTCAACATGCTTCGCTCTATGATAAACGAAACTGTTGGCAATGTGAACTTGTGATGCTGTGATATCACAAAACTGTTAATATCTTCAGATGATCTTGAGACGATTGGTTGTTTCTTTAGTTTCCAAGAAACAAGAGAATCACCAAGAAACATACAGTAACCACTAAGTAATCTCCTACGGCTCCTATCTGCGTTTGCAAATTATTTAATTTCAACTGTTATAATGCATAACGTTTACAGCAATTTAGATAATGAGGAACACCTAAAGATAAGTTAAGTTAAGCTGAGCCAATTTGTGGACGAAGAAGCATAAAATAGGTATTGCTATTGTAAGGAAGATTAGTTTGTCAATCAGACTTATGTATGCCTCATGCACATGTAAGAGATCATCAGCATTATCTTGAAACATTTTGAGATAATGTTCCAAATGATTTGAAGTAGGCTTACAACCCAAAATACATGCCACATCAATCAATTCAATACCATACTTGGTTGACACACAAAGATTCCATCAGTTGACCTTGCAATCTCTAAGCTCATATAATATTCAAACGATCTAGATCTCTAAACTTGAAACATGATTTCAACTGTGACTTCAGACTAGCCAGCAATATATTGTTATTGTTACTAGTTAGGGACAACTATGAACCATGTCATCCACACATATATATACCAAAATAGTTTGAAAGATGAAGCTATATACCTTGCTGAATATATACATTAAGATCTACTGATGATTTATGACAACCAATGTCTTGTAGAGATTCATAAAACTTGATAAACTAATTTGGTGATGCTTGTTTAAAAGGTAAAGAGTTTTTTTTTTTTTTAAGTTTGCAAATTAACAGTATTGGAAATGTCCATTTATGACGAAGACTAGTCATTACGCAGGTAGGTGCTGGTTCCACCTTTGTTTTATATTCTCGTCTCCAAATTTAGAATGTGGTTTGCTCAGCGATTGCCAAATTTGGATTTGAGTTATCTTCGTATAATGAAAACGTGCTTCACTGTTAGCCTTAAATCTTGTTTTTTGCTTCTGAGCTCGTCAGGAGAGAACGCAACAGTTTTGTAACCGTTTCTTCCCGTGCATAGCATTTATGAACTAGAGAGACAACGGATGTGTAATTAAACAGTGATTATCTTATTTTATCAACTGCAAGTACTTCTTGTCAACTAGAAGAGTCAAAGAGAAGAGATAAAAGAACTGAAATGTCAACTGAAAACTTTTTCTTCAGACAAATAAGCCACTGATGTTATTTGATTTAGATGGTGATGAAGCAAGCACAATCAACGTTTTATTTGCCTCTATCCATGACGCTGATGGAGCCTGTACGTGAAGCAATTGGTGGTAGGATAAAAAGCTCAAGATCTCCACCGTGAGGAAGAAGATGTGGATGAGTGCTTACGTCTTCAATTTTTTCCTGGCCTCCAAGGTCCAAAACTGTATTTACTGATTCTCTATAGTTTTTGGTGATGATCACATGTGTTATGTGCTGTCCCAGGTGTATTTATTTCAGATTTGTGTTGAATTTTACATAGTCAATACTTTTTAAAGTAGTATAGAGTCTCTGGACATTGATACTTCTTCTTTCTTACAGTAGTCTCTCCCGGTGAAATCTTTTCAGATGCTGACTAATTTTTCCGGTTGTTGAACTAGAGCTGGTGTACACATCAAATTGTGTCAGAAGGATAAAGTTAAAAGCAGAAGTCTGGATTTTGCAAAAGAATCTTGACCAAGAGGTTGTTGAGTTGATTGGGATTGAAGAGGAACCAAAGAACTACACACACTGTGAACTGGACATGTCTTTCTTGCTGGGTGTGAGTTGTGCAATAGTACCATTTGTAAATCACGATCATGGTAGGAGAGTTCTCTAGAAACACTGCCAACAAGCAACTGGTTTCTCGTTAACAAGATAATTTTCCGTTTCATAAGCCAATGAATAGTTCTTGATGCTGTGACAAAAATATCTCCAAGTTAAGATATTTGAGCATATACAGAGCAATGTTTCTATGTTGTTGTGTGGCTTATGAACCTGAAACATTCCTTAGGGGGTTCTTGGTTTCTTCCTAGGAGCAGTAAAAGTGTGTATTTAAAATTATTGATTCATGCCTTGTTATATGGTATTTTGCGCATGAAGAACTTCTTAAGTTTCTTGTTGTAACTTAAAGCAAACTTGGTATCGTTTGAATTTTTTTTACTCCTCCTGATTTGGTTCTTGAATTTGTAAATGTTTTGGTAAGGCTAGATTTTCGAGATTGGTACATGAGATCGAGGCTGTACAATGGGAGGACAAGCGAGATGATGGGTTCTCGAATATTCATGGGACAATGAAAAACGTTTTTTTTACAGTAAGGTTTAAGCCGTTTAAACATTATACTATTTACTTGTGGGGCAGAAAAAAAAATGTTTCTTTGTGTTTGTGGCAAAAACATAAGTCGGTGAAAAATATAACCGTTAGGATCATTGGATGGTTAGATAAACGGCGGATGTAGCTATTTTCCTTTTCGTTTAATGAATCTACCGAAGTTTCCTTTTTTCCTACAACAAATTACAGCGAGGCGCCTATTTAATTACTCAGCAGATTCATAACTCGCTATTTTCCATTTTTTTCTCAACAAATCACAAGTGCTCTGATCAAATTAGGGTTTTCATTGTCTTCCTTGTTAATCTCGAGTAATTTCGATTTTCTCTAGGGTTTGTTGATAAGAAAGGAACCAAAGAGAGTGATCATAGCAAATCAATGGCGATAATAAGGCTGCGCTGCAGAAACAAACCAGAGACGAAACTCATAAAGTTTATCGGAAAGGGTTCGTACGGTTCCATCAGTCTTTTCAGCAACACAAAAGCCGACGGCTCAACGTTTTACAGCGCCGTGAAGGTCTCCGATCATTGGACCACCGAGAGAGAGTTTCGAATTCTTTCCGAACTCAAAGGATGTCCTAGAATCGTCCAAACGTTTGAGAAGACTCTTCTTCAAGAAATCGATCACAACGGAAACAGAGTCTACAAGATGCCGATGGAATACGCAGCTGCTGGTACTCTAAACGATTTCATCCAGAGAAACAGAAAATTATCGGATTCGGTTATCAAAGACTTCACTCGGATGATTCTTCAAGGATTGGTCTCGGTTCATCATCACGGTTATGTCCATTGCGACCTTAAACCGGACAATCTCCTTCTTTTCCCGCACTACGATAAAGAAACGTGGAATTGCTCATACGAATTGAAGATTTCGGATTTCGGATTGTCGATTAAGGCCGGAGAAGAAGAATCTGACTGTTGGGAAATCGACTCTCCGTTTGTGGGAACGCCTGTGTACATGTCGCCGGAATCGGTCGACGACGGCACCGTCGAGAAAACCCTAGATTTGTGGTCGCTGGGTTGTATTGTGCTGCAGATGTATACCGGTAAATATCCATGGTTTGGGGTTAATCTCAATGATCTTCAGGGCTTTTTAGCGGACGGAAACGCACCGGAGATTCCAGAGACTGTGCCGTTGGATGCAAGGCAGTTCCTTGAGAAGTGTTTCGCAATTAAACCCAAGGAGAGGGGAAGTGCTTCGGAGTTGTTGCTGCATCCGTTTTTGATCGGAGAGATGAACATGGCTGATGTTGCCGGCGAAGAGACGAGGCGGATGGGGCTTAGAACCAGAAAATCTCCGGTGAAATTGGAAGATGTTGCTATTACAAAAAAGCCATTGAAAGTGAAGTTTGTTTCATCAGATCTCCCACAGTTTAAAAAAGTATCGAATAAACCCCTGAAGTTGAAGATTCTTCCTCCGAGACCCCCAAAGTCCAGCTTTGTTCCTGTTCATTAGTTTACTGTTACTTAGTACTACTTGGTCAAAAATGTTAATGTTTTGAAAATTTTGTCAAATTGTATGTTAGTGTGTTATATGAAATTTGATTGGTATCAATATAATTCCACTTTTTTTCAAAAATGTATCAAAACTGGTAGTAATGTAGTTTACTGTCACTAATTCGATAACCCAAAATGATTGTAACTTGGAAGTGTCACCAAAATCGAAAGAGCAATTGGTTAATTAGCTTTAGCATAAAACTATAAAACCGGTACTTTAAGAACCTCGCCAATGTATATTTATCAGAATAAAATGACATAAATTTGTGTAACCATAAGTTGTGTTATAGGGTCGTGTCGCTCACTCTTTGAACCAGAAGAGTTCTCTTGAGATTTGTAATCTGACGATTTTTGTAATCTGTGGGACTAATGTAGGAATCTGAAAACTGGCTGTTGTTTACGTATTTCTATAAAGAAAAATGGCATAAGGTAACAACTTCGAAGCTTCACAATACCATATTCAATTATCAGATTGTGCTTTTCTATATGGTGTATAACTCAAAACGTGTGTAAAAAAGCCAAAACATGAAGAAGAGAATCAATGGATACTTATCACGTTTGTGGGTTCTGGAAATAGGAAATAAAAAATTCAATCTCAAAACACTACTACAGAAGAGAAGTCATTTGAGTCGATGGAAAATTTTGAGAGATTAACGAAACTTTTTGGGAATTTGACTACTAGTCATGCCTTCTTCTCCTTCTTCTTCTCTCTAATAACGACCAATACCCCAAACCCTGATGACTCCATCTGTGTATCCACTGAACAATGTGTTTCCGTCTGCACTCCAGTTCAAGCTTGTGCAGTAGATCATCTGCATTATGCATTCCACATCAGAACATATGTAACCATAATTCAAATCAGAGACAAGAGCTAAACTGAAACCAGGAAGGTTTATGAATCTAAAGCTAAATTACTCTTCATTCACAAGAGTGATATTCAGATATATCACCAATCAATCACATCAAAATGACATTCTTGTAAACTACACACACCAATTGCTTAACAAAAAGACCTCATCTTTTTAGAGCAGTGACAAATTCAGTAGAAATCAACTCACAGACAATGACAAAACATGGAATCAGACAATTCAATAAAAGATAATCACAGAAGATACCAAGAGAATGGTATGAATGATGTACCTTCGTCTTGTTTCCGGTTCCAGCAGAAACTTCAGACTTCTCAGCCTCAGCCTTGAGGTCAACCTTCAAATCCTCAACAACACTCTTGCTCTCAAGATCCCAGATCCTAATGCTGTTCTCCGTCGCTGCACACAGCCAGTATCTGTTGGGGCTGAAGCAGAGTGAGTGAATAATAGAGCCAGCCTCCAGAGAATACAGCTTCTTTCCCTCTGCCAAATCCCAAAGCAAGATCACACCGTCTTTCCCACCACTGGCACATAGCGAACCGTCCGGTGACACAGCCACCGTGTTAAGGTAACCAGAGTGGCCAGCGAGAGTGTTCCTCAGCTTACAGTTCTGGAGATTCCAGACCTTGACGGTGTGATCCCAAGAGGCGGATACAATGGTTGGCACAAGCGTGTTAGGGCTAAACCTCACACAGCTAACCCATTCCTTGTGTCCCTCACCTTGATCGGCGATCGTGTACTTGCATTCTCCGAGTGTGTTCCACAGCTTGATCGTGCGATCACGGGAAGCCGACACGATCTGACGGTTATCGGTGGAGAAAGCCACGGAGAGAACGTCCTTCGTGTGTCCGACGAATCGGCGAGTGGTGGCTCCGGTAGCGAGATCCCAGAGACGAAGCTCGCCGTCCCAGCTTCCGGAGAGAGCGAATTGTCCATCGGAGGAGAGAACAACGTCCTCGACGAAGTGAGAGTGACCGGTTAGCCTGCGCTGAGCAACACCGTAGGATTTCTCATCCCTGGTGAGTTTCCAGAGGATGATCGACTTGTCGCGCGACGAGGTGACGATGATGTCGGAATTGTCGATCGGCGTGGCGATGGCGGTGACCGTATCGGTGTGGGCACACATTGTGCCTCTCAACACGAGTCCCTCAGCCATGGTTTAGTGTTTGAGAAGAGGATCTAGGGTTTCTTCTTCCGAGAGAGGCGACAGAGAAAGAGTAAAACGGAGGTGACAAGAAACATTGGTATTTATACTCTGGAAGTAACTATATAATTAGGGTTTTGTTCAGTTCCAGTAGTTCGGGTCTTCTTATTCGGCCCAAAAAGAGTATATGGGCTTTAAAAGAAAATACGTTTGTTTTTATTGTATTAGTCTGGATTTTGGTCCGATTTCGGTTTTGTTTATGAACAATAATTGGGGTTTTCGGTTACATTCGTAAACCAAAAATTCGAAAAAACTGTAATACCCAAACCAAAATTCAGATTAGTCTCAAAAACTTGTTTTGTGCTGGTCAGTGATTTCGATAACCGACCTGAGAACTCTACCGACAAGCTTTGATGAAATTAGAGCCAAGTCGGTTCAATTACACAAACCGAGCTGTTCCATATCTGTAAGAAAAGAACGAGTAGTGTCCGTGTTTGGGAATTGGGTAATACAGTTTTTACATGTTCGAATTTCGTAGAAGAAGAAGAATCTCGTGGGGGAAGGTCGATGAAGTGATAGATTGAAACCCTCATTTTTCTTTTTAAGTAAGCTTTACACATTGAATCAATCACGTCTCTGAAGCAAAAAACCAGAAATTTTCTCCTCTTTTCAATCTCAATTCAAGCCGAACGATCCAAACGGGGAGAATCTTCTTCACCCGTTTGCTTTTTCAATTCGGTAATTAGCTTTATCAGCTATGGATTTCTGGGTTCGACTTCAGTAAGCTTCTCCTGCCATGGATTTCGTCAGGTTTTTGTTTCTCTTCTCTGTCTCTCTCTCTCTTTTAATCATTTACTATTTTAGTGAAATTCGAATTCTGCTTCCCTCTCTCTCTGGCAGCTAATTCCAGTTCAATAGAAATGGGTTTTTTCTTGAAAGTTAGGGTTTTTAATTGATTCGGATAAAAAAATTAGGGGTTTTTGGAGGAAGCATAGAAGGAAGATTCTTGTGACGGCTGGTTGTTTGGGAAGTGGGTATTTGCTCTACAGAGTATACAATTCCCATACGCGTAGGCTTGCTGATTTGAAACGAGAACTCGCCAAGGAGCGTGAAAATGACGAAATCATCAAAAACCAGTTAAGTCTTGAACCAATAAAAACCTGAGCTTTCTCTGTTTGTTCCGTTCTGAATGGCTTCTCTTACTGATCGTATCCTGTTTATGCTCTTGCCTAGAATGAAAACCCATTTCGAGAATATTCAGATGATCGTGGACTCGACCACACTGCCTCACGCGATGCAGTGTTTGAGTGTCCGCTTGAACGAGGAGATTGATGTCTCTAATGTTATGGAGAGACTTAACAGAGGGAAAGGAATGTTGAGTCCCTCTGAGAAGCTTCAGCTATGGGACGAGCTCAAGATTTTGAGTATGCAGTTACCTACTCACTCTATTAAACACTATATCTTACCTGTTGTGTTGAGTGAGGATATTTTGAGGTTATTTGATCGTTTTTTCTTGCCAGGTTTCACGAGGATGGTTCTGTCTCTGTGGTCCGTCACAATGCTTAGCTTGTACATTAGGGTTCAAGTCAACATTTTGGGCAGACATTTGTATGTTGACACCGCACGAGCTCTTGGCAGCTCCCATTTACTTGTAAGATCATATGCTTTCCCCTTCTCTCTCTCAGCAATTATCTGCTTATTAATCTATATTACACACGTTCTTTCCTGCTCCTAGTTGATTGTAAGTATGATTCAGTGCGTTTCACTTATCACATCCCCAACAAGCTGTTTTTGGGGGAACTTCACTACTCATGTTGTTAAAAACTTGTATGAATCATGTTTATAGTAGCTGTTTTAGGAACCTTTTGTCCTGTGATCTCTTAAGAAGGTCTTTCTGTTGAATTTTTTATTTTGCAGGAAGAGTTAGATCTCATTGATAGAGATGATGAACAAAAGTTTTTGTCAAGTGCTGATTTTCTCGTGACCAATGCAATGCCGAGTTTGATTTCAGATATGCAGGCTGCGGTCAGGGAAGTTCTTAAAGGGTATGTTGCAAGAATACGTATCTAGATCGTTATAATCTTACTGTTATTGGATAGTATGTAATGTGTTTTAATTGCAGAAAGCAGTTAAAGGATGTTATTACCACGAGAGTTCTTCAAGAAACCGTGATACGGATTATGGATGTGTTCATGAGCAGTGGAAGTCCACATCACTGGGTTGATTATTTAATGATGGTGTCTCATGACACAAATCTTTCAAGAAGCACAAGTGTCTCCTCCTCTGATGAAACTGTGAGCAAGTTTCATCAACTTATGGTCGAAACCCGAGAAGTACTCATTAGGTAAATATAATCTCACTCTCTGCTAACATAAACTCAAATTCTTCTTTGTTAGATTCATTCGAGAATAAACGTATCTCTTGGTCTCTGTTTCTTTGTTGTAGCAATGAATTCACAGATATAGTGGAGATCTCGCTCAAGTGTTTCACGGATGCGTTGGTCGAGGAAATGGAAACGCAGACCGTAACCGGCGGTTTAGCTACCGGGATGCCACTGGCAAAGGTGTTACCACAGATTGAGAAGACAATACATGTGATTACAGCTGAACCGAGCAAGAACCGGTTCTTAAAACTCATCAGAGATCTGTCTGAAGTTCAACTCTTTTTCACTCTTTTGTACGCCAATATGCCGCAGTAGCAACATTTGTTTTGTTCCCTTAGCGTTTCCCCCCCCAAAATCGCGCATTGGAAAGTGTTTGCGTTTTAGCTCCAAAGAAACGCAGGAATTTTTGTGTGTTTGAGCTTTGTAGAATCAAAGTTGATTTATTTTATTTATTGGTAGTTTAAAACCTTGATTAGAAAACAACTAAAGCAGCTTACATATAAGTGTGCACGATCCATCCATTGCGCTTGGAACTTGCACACAAGTCAACGGATATAAAGTTTAACTTTTTCCAATCTGCTAAATACAAATCCGTAAATATATGAGATCACCGTAGAACCAAAGTGTAAGAGTTGTCGCAGGTTGTCGGGAAAAATGTACATTCAGATGACAGACGGATCTCCTCCGCCGCCGGAGCAAACTTCGTTTGACCATCGGGTTAGTTAGATCACCCTTTTCATTCTTTAATCATGGAAGATCAAATCTTGATTCTTGTTTTTGATTATGTATATATAGATTGAAGAGATTGAGAGACAGAAAGAGATCGACGATTGGCTTCCGATAACTTCGTCGAGAAACGCGAAATGGTGGTACTCCACGTTTCACAATGTGACCGCCATGGTTGGAGCCGGCGTCCTTGGTCTCCCTTACTCCATGGCTCAGCTCGGATGGTAACGTATTTTCTTTTATTGAATTTTTTAAATTTATTGGTTAAAAAATTTCTTTTTTTATTTGAATTTTTACATGATTTTGTTATATATATATATATATGTCAGGGGTCCGGGCGTGACAATACTGATACTATCATGGATAATAACACTCTACACGTTGTGGCAAATGGTGGAGATGCACGAGATGGTTCCTGGAAGACGCTTTGACCGTTACCACGAACTTGGCCAGTTCGCATTCGGCGAACGTATTGGTCTCTATATCATCGTCCCTCAGCAAATCATTGTCGAAGTAAGCAGTCTCAATCGATAGTATCTGTACATGTCCCATCATTTTTTATCTATACAATACAAGCCTCTTGATATTGGGTTACTCTCGACAAATTAAGGTTGGAGTATGCATAGTTTATATGGTTACAGGAGGACAATCGTTGAAGAAGTTTCATGAACTCGTCTGTCAAGATTGCTCACCGATCAGACTTACTTTCTTCGTAATGATATTTGCTTCTTCTCATTTCGTTTTGTCTCATCTCCCAAACCTCAACTCTATCTCTCTTGTTTCTCTCGTCGCCGCCGTCATGTCTCTTAGGTATACTACTTATCAGTATCATCATCTTATATATATACGCATTACTGGGGAAAAAACATCATGCATAAAGAATTTTCATTTTATGGTGATTACTAAATATATCAGATGAATAATAGTAAGACACTAAGAAGATGTATGATATTTTAATTTTTATTCACATAATCATTTTTCAAAAACATAAGAACGTGATTTATACTATGAATAGTAAGTTTAAGTTGGCAACAAAAAGAAATATAATTGCGTTTTGAAAACGTTAAAAATGGTATCCTTTTTTTTTAATTAATGTAAAATTTATTTAAGGGTTACATCAAGTGTACATTGTTTTTAGAGTTTGTTTGAAAATTGTTTTATTATTAGTCATTTTATGTGTTCTTTTAGTTATTCGACAATCGCTTGGACCGCTACAGCTGCGAAGGGCGTTCAGGAAGATGTTCAGTACGGCTACAAAGCCGGCACAACCGAAGCGAAGGTTTTAAACTTTTTCACGGGACTTGGGGGCATTGCGTTTGCTTACGCAGGTCACAATGTGGTGCTTGAGATCCAAGCAACAATACCTTCTACACCAAGTAACCCTTCAAAAGGTCCCATGTGGAAAGGAGTCGTGGTGGCTTACGTGGTCGTGGCCTTGTGTTATTTCCCCGTTGCTTTGGTTGGGTACGGTGTTTTCGGAAACGCTGTCTCGGATAACGTTTTGATATCGCTCAAAACACCGGTTTGGGCCATCGCATTGGCTAACTTGTTCGTGGTTATGCATGTCATTGGCAGTTACCAGGTCAGTCTCCAATAGTTTCATGGAATTTCACTGATGATGAATCGAACCGGAGATACATCTATCGGTTTTCTCATATTGAACTGATAATATTTCTGTTTTTTTTTTGGTAATGTACATTGCTATATGCGGTTCAAAAATCAGTTTTCAAATATTAGTCTAGTTTTCGGTACATGAGACATTTATCGTGAATATCCAGTTTGGTTTTGTGGAAATGTTAAACTGTCTGCAGATATTCGCAATGCCGGTTTTCGACATGTTGGAGACATTTCTGGTTAAGAAAATGAATTTCAAACCTTCTACGATTCTTCGTTTCATCGTACGGAATGTGTATGTTGGTAAGTACGATTAATCTGAAAGCTACTGTATATAGAGTTTACATTAACTGTTACATTTAACTTTTACGGTTGAGTTCGAACCCTCCCAATGCGATTTCAATCATTTTTTTTGCCACTTGTAGACGTTTTAGTGTGAGGATTCCACCAGTTAACAAATTTTTGATATATATATGGTAAAATTTTCTAAAACATTAATTTCTTTTTAATGAAATATGAGGACAGCTTTAACGATGTTCATCGCGATCATGATACCCTTTTTTGGCGGCCTTCTTGCGTTCTTTGGAGGATTTGCGTTTGCTCCGACAACTTATTTTGTAAGTGTATATATCTATTAAATCTCTTTGAACTCTATGCAGACGAAGTTTTTCATTTAAAAAAAATTAAAAATAGATAGATATAAATATATAATATATTTAAACTTCGCACGCTATATTATTTGCTCTGCAGCTTCCTTGCATAATGTGGCTGATAATCTATAAACCAAAGAGGTTTGGCTTGTCGTGGTGGACAAATTGGGTAACGTATCTTTTGTTCTCTCCAAATTGTTTATTTTTTTTAGAAATTAAATTATTTCAAATTGATTCTTAACTTGTAACATTGAGATTGGATATGCGTATGTAACAGGTATGCATAGTGCTTGGGGTTAGTTTGATGATCGTTTCATCTATAGGAGGATTAAGGCAAATCATCCTTCAATCCAAAGATTACCGTTTATTTTCTTGATTAAAATTTCGTTTACTACTTTTTTTTTTCAATTTTAATTCAAACTTTTCGACCAAATATTCATTTTTTTTTGTTTTTGTTTCAACAGCTATAAATTAATTCAAAAAAAAAACCAGAATATTAAGTTTTATGAACTTACGGTTTAAAAACTATTGGTAATTGAGGATGTTGTGAGTGTGAAGATAAGAAGAAAATCAGACTAAATGAATCTAAACCAAACAAATCAGCCAAATATATCTTCGTCACCCAATTGCATTCGCTAACTTGATTGTGGTTATACATGTCATTTCTTATAATAATTAGCATATATCTTCGTTCTCTGTTTTGACAATCCTGCTGAGTATCGCTCTGTTATTGGTAGTCTGCAGTACCTGCTATTTACGCGCCCTGATATAGCCTATGCCATCAACAAGCTCTCACAATAAGTGCATCAACAACATATGGATCACTGGCTTGCGGCCAAAAGAGTGTTGATATATTTTATTGATACCACCAAGACGGTTTTAGTTGTCTTTGTCTCAAGTCCATTAATCATTATCAATTCCTGCTTTCTTTAATGTTGATTGGGATGAAGATAAGGATGACTACGTTGCGCAACTTACCTAAGTGTGAATTTTGTATTTCACTCTAGAATAAAGCATGATGCTGTTGATTATCATGTCATCAAAGACTTTGTACAATCAGGCTTTCAGCTTGTTACACATGTCAAGTCCACTGATAAGTTTTAAACAATTTTGTTTACATAGTTATAACTCTGTCTTTTTTCTTTTCCATGGTTAATTAGAGATATTTGTGCGCTACACGCGGATTATTTTTATAAATATTTAATTACTATTTAAAGTAAGTTATTTTAATATTAAATTATTATTTTCAATATAGTATTTAATTTGCAATATTTTTGACATGGTTATACATCAAAATGGTTTTAATCTATTTGAAAATGTAAAATGATTTAATTTAAAAATTTACTAACTTGATATATGTGAAAATTAACTATTAATCTAAAACTTAATATTTCTATATAATCTCGTACAACAACTTTCAAAATATTATCAAAATTAATTTTGTTTTAACTAAATTTGATATATAATTGAATTCAACAACTTTAAAATTTCTCTTTATTTTATTTTAAACATTTTTTTCATTTTTTCATTTTAAGTAAAAGAAAAAAACTTATCAAACATATGATTAAAACTGAAGCATCTGATTATCATTCTAATTAATTTGGATTTCTTTTTATTCAATTATGTACGTGTAACTTTTTTTAGTAGTCTCAAAACAAAACAACAGTCAATATTTAATTTCTTACAAATCCTTAAAAGAACTATTGTTCATATAAATGAAAAAAAAATTTACATGAAATATACAAAATCACAATCATATTGATAAACTGCAATTTTCATTTGATCTCTAAAGCATCTGTAAACTATAGAATTTGTAGATGAATAAAGCAAATAATACATATACAAATACAACTTTATATTAATTCATTCTATTAAACAATGTATGACGAGTTTCTCAAAACTCAAAGTGTAAAATATTTATTTGCATTTGGCTTGTAATCTAACTTATATATTTTTCTTACAACACATATATATTTTGATGAGTCTTTATAATTAAATTAATAATATATATCATATTATTTTAGAAAGAGTTTCTAAACCCAAAAAAATCAGATTAGTTTTATTTACATGTTCATTTTGTAAAGAATTTCTTTTTTTGTTGATGTGGATGGTTAAGGATGTTTTTATGATATTTTATTTTACATAAAAAATGTGTATACTATTTTAAAATATAGGAATGTAATATATTAATATGCTAGTATATTTTACTGTAAATGTAATGCATACATTTTTTGTAATAAGTAATGTATTAATAAAATCTTATAAGTTTATCTTTGTAGAGACAATAGACAATTTTGTGTCCATATAAAATACAGTTGTGTTAATTTGAATTTTTTTTTATTTATTTGTTATTTATATACTATGTTTTTGTTTTTTCTAAATTGTGAATGTTTTCAGTTTTTTTTTAGAAATTACTATCTTGTAACTTTGTTTCTATTAACTATTATTTAAGTTTTTTTTGGAGCAATTTGTTTTCTAAAATATTTTATGTGTATTTAAAAAAAAACTAAAATGAGTGTTTTTATTATTCCGTGGACGAATTTCATATCTTATAATATTATAATTTAGCATTTTTTAGTTTAAACATGTGATTAATAATAACTTGGGCTGTAAAAATTTGGAATATTAAACATATAACTAATTTTTATTTTTGTTAAAATTATGTTATATGTCATATATTTTTTGTTACTACAATATATACAATTTAATCAATATTCAAGTATTGCTATTATTGTTGATTAAATACTATTTCATTTTAAACATGTTATAAATATATTAAAGAATTATTTTTATTTGAAGTCTGCTGATGTGGCATGATTATAGAGAATTTTTGTTTGTTGATGTGAATGGCTTGAGGAGCCCCAAACTCTTCCTTTCATTTAGTATAGAAGTTTCGACATTTTGGCATTTTTTTTCTTCTTCTTAAATCTATATATTACTTTCCTAATCTTTCTTATATATTAGAAATTATATTAGGATTTTGATATTTTATTAATTTATAGAACTATTAATTAATCAATTTTGAATAAACAAATTAATTATTATTAATTAATTAATAATAACTGTTTTATTTAAAGTTTATGATATTTTTATTAAAAAACATTTCATTCAAAAATTAGATATAAGTTATAATTTTTTTTAAAAAATTTGAATATAAAAACAAGAGAAATATATTCATATCTTAGTAGATTATCATGTTGCTGTTGATTATCATGTCATCACTTTGTACAATCAGGCTCTCAGCTTGTTACACATGTCAAGTCCGCTGATAAGTTTTAAACAATTTTGTTTACATAGTTATAACTCTGTCCTTTTTTCTTTTCCAAGGTTAATTATGGATATTTGTGCGCTACACGCGGATTATTTTTATTAATATTTAATTACTATTTAAAGTAAATTATTTTAATATTAAATAATTATTTTAAATATAGTATTTAATTAACAATATTTTTGACGTGGTTATACATCGAAATGGTTTTAACCTATTTGAAAAATGTAAAATGATTTAATTTAAAAATTTACTAACTTGATATATGTGAAATTAACTATTAATCTAAAACTTAATATTTCTATATAATCTCGTACAACAACTTTCAAAATATTATCAAAATTAATTTTGTTTTAACTAAATTTGATATATAATTGAATTCAACAACTTTAAATTTTCTCTTTATTTTATTTAAAACATTTTTTTCATTTTTTCATTTTAAATAAAAGAAAAAAACTTATCAAACATATGATTAAAACTGAAGCATCTGATTATCATTCTAATTAATTTGAATTTCTTTTTATTCAATTATGTACGTGTAACTTTTTTTTTTCATTAGTAGTCTCAAAACAAAACAACAGTCAATATTTAATTTCTTACAAATTCTTAAAAGAACTATTGTTCATATGAATGAAAAAAACATTTACATGAAATATACATAATCACAATCATATTGATAAACTGCAATTTTTATTTGATCTGTAAAGTATCTGTAAACTATAGAATTTGTAGATGAATAAAGTAAATAATACATATACAAATACAACTTTATATTAATTCATTCTATTAAACAATGTATGACGAGTTTCTCAAAACTCAAAGTGTAAAATATTTATTTGCATTTGGCTTGTAATCTAACTTATATATTTTTCTGACACCACATATATATTTTGATGAGTCTTTATAATTAAATTAATAATATATATCATATTATTTTAGAAAGAGTTTCTAAACCCAAAAAAATCAGATTAGTTTTATTTACATGTTCAGTTTGTAAAGAATTTCTTTTTTGTTGATGTGGATGGTTAAGGATGTTTTTATGATATTTTATTTTACATAACAAAATGTATATACTATTTTAAAATATAGGAATGTAATATATTAATGTGCTAGTATATTTTTCTGTAAATGTATTGCATATATTTTTTTGTAATAAGTAATGCATTGATAAAATCTTATAAGTTTATCTTTGTAGAGACAATAGACAATTTTTTGTCCACATATGTAAAATACAGTTGTATTAATTTGAAAAAAATTTATTTATTTGATATTTATATACTATGTTTTAGTTTTTTTTAAATTGTGAATGTTTTCAGTTTTGTTTTAGAAATTACTATTTTGTAACTTTGTTTCTATTAACTATTATTTAAGGTTTTTTTAGAGCAATATGTTATCTAAAATATTTTATGTGTATTTAAAAAAAACTAAAATGAGTGTTTTTATTATTGTGTGGACGAATTTCATATCTTATAATATTATAATTTATCGCTTTTTAGTTTAAACACATGATTAATAATAACTTGGGCTGTAAAAATTTGGAATATTAAACATATAACTAATTTTTCTTTTTGTTAAAATTATATTATATGTCATATATTTTTTGTTACCACAGTATATACAATTTAATCAATATTCAAGTATTACTATTATTGTTGATTAAATACTATTTTATTTTAAACATGTTTTAAACATATTAAAAAATTATTTTTATTAGAAGTCTGCTGATGTGGCATGATTATAGAGAAATTTTTTTTGTTGATGTGAATGGCTTGAGGAGCCCCAAACTCTTCCTTTCATTTAGTATAGAAGTTTCGATATTTTGGCATTTTTTTTCTTCTTAAATTTATATATTACTTTCCTAATCTTTCTTATATATTAGAAATTATATTAGGATTTTAATATTTTATTAATTTATAGAACTATTAATTAATCAATTTTGAATAAACAAAATAATTATTATTAATTAATTAATAATAACCGTTTTATTTAAAGTTTATGATATTTTATTAAAAAACATTTCATTCGAAAAATTAGATATAAGTTATAATTTTTTTTAAATTTTAATATAAAAAACAAGAGAAATATATTCATATCTTAGTAGATTATTATAATTATATTTTTGTATAAGGTTATTATTTTGTGGTAATTATTAACTTATGATATTAATGAGACTATGTATTTACATAAAATTTTCAAAAGAATTA